CTTGGAGTATCACAAAGTTAATACACCTAAAATAACCTTGATAGTGGGAGCATCACCAACATCATGTGAACAGGACGAAGTGCCGCTAATCACAATGCCCATAAAGTCTGAAACGTGTCAGATAGCTAGACAGTCCGTTTTCCAGATAGGTATTAGAATGGTAAACACTTACTGACGGAAATTGACTTGCAGCTGCGTAGGTCACGGATGCACGTTATGCGAGACGATGCTGTAGAGACTGCAGATCCAGCAGCAGCTATGCTTGTTGAAGGTCCTAAACCCCTCCTGACCTACTACTAGATCCATGGCGAAAAACAGTCAAGACCGGTATACCATCAGTGAGAATCGGTTTAACCATGTCTGGCGGTCGAAATGGGGTACTGAAGGGATTTTTTGAGTTCCTCCTAGCTGTTGTAGACGAGATCACAACTCTAAAACTACCATTTTGTTCCAAACAAAGAAAAATTGCAATATATGGTATCGCATGTGCAAACTCAAAGTAACGTACAGATTTCGTTCAAAGTGTGAGCAACCAAAATTTACTAATTTAGACGATTGTTGCTTAATTAGACTGACATTCAGACTCTTGTTCAAATATTTAAAGTTGCCAACCTCTTTACACTGTTTTCTCGGAACACACTCTCTTGAGAGGGATCTAGATTTTCTTCGTTTGATCCAGAGCTGGAAAACTCATAACTATTAGTGGATGGCTTTAAATCCCCTTTAATGAAAGTGGACAAACGGTTGATGTTCCTTTGAAATGGCATCTAAACGACGCTGTGCTGCTCGTAACGCCGCTTCTGAGACGGCGATAATTTTTTTGGATCCAGCCGTAACAAATCCTGTGAAAGCAGGAGAGTCCCTTTTCACTCTTTTGTCTCTAAGAAGAAAATAGATTAAAGAGGTTAGGGGATTGCTTCAATAAAAGACTGAGCTCGCCTGCTTTGCGAAGTTTCCTCAGATAGAGGTGAGTTCAGACGTGCCCTGGCTGAGCTAATTGCTTCTTCACTAACGCCAATTTCAGTTTCTGACCCAGCCGTAAATCCACTGAATTTGAGTGAGTTCGGATCAGCTAAACATAAACACGTA